TTTTGTAAAAATACATATGTATGTGTACTTAATTTTTTAAAGAAAAAAGTCTCATTTAGAACCACAAGTGAAAATTATTATTATTCTTATTTGGTGGTTCCACATAGCATAGAAAACACTATGGCAAATATTTACGTTGTTCATATTTACTTGCATATCTTTGGCAAATATATTTTATATGTTGTATATTTTGCCATCACATTGTCATGCTACCACTAACAGCAAGTTTATATTTCCAACGCTAAGCAAACATACATTAAAGATATATGTACATATAGTACGCCTGCTGTAAAACGTCAAACTAGTGCGGTAAAATATTAGTGCTTAACTAGTCTCAAGAGGAACAGATAATGCAAATTCGATATTAGTTTGAAAACATGTAGTTTGAGTTGGAGGTAATTCTACATACATAAATGAACTAGTATTTTACTAGTATCATGCTGACCTAACTACTGCCTGCTTGCCAGTAATTCATATGGAAATATGATAAAGAATAAAGCTATTGACCAAATGTAATTTATCAGCCTTATAATTCACAACCAGTAGCTTTTCCTACGGGGTCGTGGTGGAAAGAAAAAGCAAAATATAAGCACGCGTACATGCTAAATAAGCAAACAGGCCTGAGAGCAAATACAGTCTGCCATTGCCACCCATTAACTGTCAACTCAATTTTAAATGGCACTTGCCACATTGACAAGTGACAGCATCATTTTGCTGTCACACCGAAAAAAGACACATAAACTACTTATATGTACATACTTACGCAAACAAGCAAATATGAATGACAAAAATTTCACACAAAATGATAAATGAGGGAAGAATATGCTTACTACATACATACATACATACATACTTACATACATACATATCTATGTCATTATGGTAGACAAACAAAATGTTTAAATGACTGAAGTGAAATATGAAATTTATGTAGAGGTGGACTTTTTTAACTAACATACTCGTATGTACACACATATGTACTAGCAACTTAAATACACTTTTTCAGAAAACTTGGGAACCAAATTAAAGCTTTCAAATGGCATGAAATAAGCATTTATAGTAATTTAATTTTATTTATTAAATTTTGGTTTTTTTTTTACAAAATTATTACATTATTTCGTTTTATATTACTTTTTGTTGGATTCTTACTCTGCTACCTTTTCGGGTTCCAAGTAAAACACGCTTGCTTCTATGCAATTCAGTATAATAAATATAAGTGTTTATTCAACAGTTAGAAATGAAGGACTGACTGGTTGTTCTCGGTTTCAGTTATTTCAAAAACATTACAGGGTTGCATAATATGTTAGTTGCTAATAGGGTTACATTTCAACACGCCTCCTCAACGAACATATTTTGCATACTAAACAAATAATATAATTAATTTAAACTCAACAATTTTTGTAAATTTCTCATGACTGGGTCTTGGTAAATTCTTTTTAAATATATCTGCTATCATGTTACTACTACTACAATAGTTCAGTTCGATTTCGCCTCCTCGATAGACATCTCTTATGAAGTCATAAAAGTTAAGTAATTGAACTGTTTTTTCGGCCTACCGACTTCTCCGGTACGAACTAGCTTAGGCCTACCTGGTCCACGCTTCATTGGTGTAGGTTCTTCTTCAGCAGACTCAAAATCATCTTCACTACCACCAGGCAACACATCTACGTTTTCAATTTCTTCTACTACTTCATCTTCGTTTATGTTATTGTTTTCTTCTTCAACTTGCTGGAAAGGTACTTGAGCCACCTGCCCGTTTCCCCTAGCATTCATCTGCGTTGAATTTACCACATCAAAAGTAATGTTGGATTTTGGTGTATTTTGTTCAGCTTTCTCAATGAAATACACATCTCTGCTAATAATCAAACGCTTCGTTTCTCGATCAAGCAACCTATATGCTTTTGATGTATCTGAGTACCCAACCAATGTATACTCTTTACCCCTTGCTTTGAATTTGTTATGTTGACGTTTATCCAGTGCTACCGCGAATGATCCAAATTCCCTCAAATGTGCGACTGTAGGCTTATGACCATGCCATGCCTCATATGGTGTTACACCATATAACGCTTTTGTCGGAGATCGATTTCTCAAATATGCAGCAGTACGAACTGCTTCTGCCCATAATGACTCTTCAGCACCTGCACTCAGCATCATGCACCTAGCCATTTCAATAAGCGTTCTATTCATTCTTTCAGCTGGTTGTCGTAGTGAGTTGTCGTAGAATACCATTTTCTTTTAAAAAATCATCAAAAGCATTGTTGACAAACTCAGTTCCATTATTACTTTGTAGAATTTTTGACTTTTTTCCTGTTTGACGTTCTGCCATCGCCTTGTATTCCTTAAACTTCTCATAGGCTTCGTTTTTGTGACGTACACCACCTGTCAGCTGCTTTATTCTCCGAACTGCCATACGGACGCCGACTGCATTTACTGGATATACACAATGCACAGTTAAGGTAGCGAGAGCCTTTTGATCGGCGTTATTCTACGCTAACTTAGCAAATGGTTTCTCTGGAGGAGTTTCCACGACCACGTGCCACAAGTCTAGAGTGACCAATAAACTTTTGACTTGTATCGACCAAGTCGCATAGTTTTCCGAATTTAACNTGTTCGATTGTGCTACAAAAGCTTGAACACTACTTTCGCCATTTTCAAACTGACTAGTTTTACGCCGCTCACCTTCTTCCATTAACTTTATCTTAACAGCATTAAGATTCGGTAACTCATCTCTTGATTCCAAAGCTACTACCAAGCTTTCAAAAGATTTTGGCAAACTTGCAAGAAGCATAACTACGATTAAATCATCTTGAAGACACACTCCAATTTCTGCTAACTTCTCTGCAACCGATGTGAACTTACAAACATATTGTTGAACACACTCGCCGTTACTCATTCGAATTCCAAGCAACTGCTTGAACAAAGTAACTTTTCTTACTGGCCCTTTTGGTCGATGTACCTCACGAAGAGTTTTCCATGCCTCATTAGCCGACTTACAATTTCTTACATGGCTTAACTGCATAGGCGTTACACTTAGGAATATTGTTGCTTTTGCTTTGTCATCTTTTGCTTTCCAAAATCGTACAGACTTCTCTTCTGCGCCTTCTTCTGGATGCGGCCACTCTCCACACGTAACCGTCCACAGTTCTTGATGTACCAGCACACTCTGCAACTGCAAGCTCCACGAGTCATAATTGGATTCATCCAATTTCTCGATGTTGAACAACGGAGAACTCATTTCCACAACACTTATTCAATTTACTTTACTTGGACCCCAGGAATTTGTACCTGGTCCCATAACCTGTTGGATTCTTACTCTGCTACCTTTTCGGGTTCCAAGTAAAACACGCTTGCTTCTATGCAATTCAGTTAAGTATAAGTGTTTATTCAACAGTTAGAAATGAAGGACTGACTGAATGTTTTCGGTTTCAGTTATTTCAAAAACATTACAGGGTTGCATAATATGTTAGTTGCTATTAGGGTTACATTTCAACATCTACTTAGGGAGCTAAGCTTTCGTTTAAGCCACTCCATTTAAGCAAAAAAAAAGCAAAAAAAAAAACGCAGCCACTGAAGTGTTTGAGGTCTTCAGTGGTTTGTGTAAGCACTGATTCTTCCGCGACTATCTTTTTTTGATTCGGAAATATTTCTAAGCAGCTTAAGTGAGTTTATAGAGAGTTTAATGTGAGCAAATCTGCAGATGTTCAATTTAACATCTGTCTTCGGCTCCATAACGACCAGGCTGCAGCTAGTTTGCGGCTAACGATTCGCTGGAATATATTAATATTTTTCTCGGTCGGCTGTGCGGGAGGTAAAATTCACTGTCTCCGATCCACTGGCTTTTTATGAGTTGAACTCTTTTGTAAAAAAATCGTGTTACTATTCAAAATTTTAGTCATGGTCTTGGACTGGGTTGGAAAACTTGAACGTAATCCCGCTCTTTCTGAAGAACCTTGTAAATCGATGAAGTTCTCAGTTACTTACATAGAACCTACAACCCTAGAACGTCCTGAATTCAGATAAATCCCTTCACGAGATCTTGAGAAAAAAATTGTTTCTTGATAATGAGAGCTTTCAGTTTTTCGATAATGAACACATAACCTTAAGCCTGCAATATTAAAGCAGTTTTTTGGTAACATCAATATGTCTTGAAATGGTGAGTGTAAAGTCATTTTGTGGCCAATTCACAATCCCTATTGCCCTTTAGCCTTACCAATAAAATATTTTAGGCTGAGTCAAAGTCGTATATACTGACATGGGGAGGCTCACAGGGAGTGTCAAAAAGCCTGGAAACACATAAAAGCCCAATCTACGGCTGCCACGTGAGTTAACGAGAAAAAACCTCAAGGACCGAATTCCCATCTGCGAATCATCGCTGCTGAATCGCTACAAAATGGACACATTTCTGTAGCAGATGATGAGTGCTGATGAAAAGTGGATCATTTACAGCAACGTCAAATAAAAACGGTCGTGGTTGAGAGGCGGTGAATCGGATCGAAGGCAAGGAAGGCTTCAACTGCCCGCGCTGAAATTGTTGAGAATTTTTCTTTTTTGTTTGATAGCGAAGTCCTAAAATACTATGCTAAAAATTAACGCGATATGTCAACCTGTTTTTTCGCAGCAGCTGTTGAAAACAGTCAATCTCAGTTCCCTGTGCGAATATTCTTTAACGGCCTTGTTCGCGTCGAAAGGGGTTCCTCGGGGTGGTAGCTTGAGTTTTGGATACAAAATAAAAAAAATGAAAACATAGTCGCAAGTTGCCGGTGAATACGGAACGATGGTATGAATAAGTTTTTGGTCTTAAAATCTTTCACAACCACAGCTCGGTGCGATGCATCACGAAAGTTTTCGGAAATTGTTCGCCAAAAATTTCGCGCAAACGTCTCAAAACGCTCAATTAATACTTTTTATTGACCGTCTGTCGCATCGGAATAAATTCATGGTTTACCAAATCGCGAATATCGAAAGAAAAAACAAAAACAATTACCGGAAACTTTATGGTATTAATGCATTGTCTTTGGTGCGAACGGTAAAAAATCATCCACCATGAGCTGCTTCTGCAACGCCAGAGTCTTAATTTGGATACCCGCACTGCCAGCAATCGGTTCATCAGCAGGAAGCAATTGCTCAGAAGTGCCTAGGTTTGGCCCATAAAAGTGGCATTGTGTTTCATAAGGACTAAGTCAGCCATACACAACGATAGGGACACACCAGCGGCTTATTAAACATGGTTGGGAGGCTCTTATGTGTTCATATATCCTCTCTATGGCGAATTCTTTGGTTTGGTGAAGAATGTGTGTCAAGAGGAAACTGTGAAATACGATTGTTCCAGTACGATTTTTCGCCAAACTTGGCAGGAGTTTCAAGAGCTTATCGTGCAAAATGTGCATATTTGACATAAATCTGATAATTGTAAAAAAGGTAAATAAAGTCTTTTAATTTAGTGCAAAAATAATGGATGATTTATTACTTGAACAATATGATATTGTTATGTTGATATGAAGTAATTTGTTATGTTGTTGGTAATATTGTGAAAGCTCCAAAACCTTGACATTGAGTTTGTCACCCGATTTCAGTCAACATGCCTTCTGAAAACTTTATTTGAAATTTAGATGCTTTTTGAATGGGATCAACCCAACTGACTGGCATTGTTTAATGACTTTGTCTATGAAAATATTTTTTTGTATAGCAAATACTACAAACAAATAGCGGAGAAGAACTAATGAAGTGCGTGTCTACACGGTGTGTCCTAAGAATAACCGAACTATATATTTAAATCATACAACATACAGCGCCATCTATTGAAAATTTGCAACATTAAAAAGATACATTCATCATCTTTCAAACGCACATAACTTCATGTAAGGCGGATGACAGATGTAAAAGTGACGCCATTTCAATAAAACCAAAAGTGTGTTAATGGTTCAAAGATAAAATGGAACAAAAAGCAAATATAAAATTTTATGTCAAACTTAAAAAAAAAATTAATGAAAAATGCTTATTGTGATGATTGTATGAGTCGTACGCGCGTTTATACGTGGTTTACACGATTTAAAAATGGTCATGCGGATTTGAATGACCCTAGAGCAGGACGTTCAGAAACTAGTAATCGTGCTGAACTGGTGGGAAAAGTCCCTGAAATCATTGGTTTCGATGCAAATTTTACACCGAGAATGTTGGCTCAGGAATTGAATACGAGTAAAAGCACTATTTGGAGAATTTTAACTGAAGATTTGAGGAAAAGAAAGGTCTGTGCGCGACTTGTTCCACATGAATTAAATGACGACCAAAAAATCGCTCGAATTTTTAATGAAAAAAGAGATTTCTCTCATCGACCATCCTCCGCATTCGCCTGATCTATCACCATGTGACTATTTATTTCCAAAACTGAAAACCAAGATGAAGGGAGCATTTTATGATGATATCCCAGCCATTCAAGCAGCCGTAGCCGAGGTACTGAAGAACATTTCTATAAATTACATAAAAAAAATCTATGCATGCGCTGATTGATCGTTCGCATTTCTTTTATCACAGCGTACCTTTGGATCCCAGAAATGATATGGAATTGGTTTTAGAGTGAAAAAAAAAAAATTAATTTCAAATAGTTGAATTTTTCATTTGGCTGCTGCCCCTCAGAGCGTGCGCAGTGTACAAATCACAATCACATTTTTCAAACTGGCAGGGCAGATTATTCGGACTCTCTTGCAATGAAATGTTTAAACAGAAATTCTATTCTATCTTTAAAAAGTAAGTCTATTTTTCAACATCTAGTGTAGCGCTTTACCCCTTAAGGTAGGCAAGGCAAGCAAACCATTTAAATTTTCTTATTAACCGTTGTAAGATTTATTGCCACAACTGCTTACTGTAGTACATACATACGTATATTAGTTTATGCAGACAACAAAGAAATAATCATAAATATTACAAATTTTCTATATATATTTAAATATATATAAAGTAGTGTGTGGAGAAGCAACAGCAAGAGGTGTGTACTAATTATTTTTAATGTCCGCACACGAATCACAAATTGTATACACCCACCACATAAACATGCAGTCATACATACATACATACATACAGACATACTATGTATATATGTATATATGTATGCATTTGGCGATTAAATCAAAGAGCCAAATAAGCATACCACTTTTATTAGACTTAAATATATTTGCACGCAAATAATTAGTGATTTATTTATTGCTTTTCTGGCCATTCGTGGCAGAAAAAATCGCGCCGAAATTAATAAAGTTCAAAAATAAGGTAAATAAATAAATAAACAAATAAATACGAAACACAAACAAGTACTTAGTTATTAGCACAACGAAATTTTGGTGCTTCAAAATGCACATTTGCGCAAAACAAAATCCATTTTTGAAATATGAAATGCACTGCAAATGCAACCCGACCTTTCGCTGAGGCTGATGGCTGAGGAGAGAATTGTTATGATTTATTGATTTAGTTATTTGCTACTGAACTATTTGCATTTCATGCTACACCCATATTCATCATACACGGTAACGGTACATCAAACAACAGGCAGCATGGACCGAAATGTGCGATAAAATCAAAATTCCAGCAGCAAATAAGGATGCCTAAGCAAAATGGTGCTTATGGTGCTTATGGTGCTGGTAGTTTGTGGCCAAATTCATCATAAAAATTTCAACAGTTCGTAGAAAGAAAAAAGAAAAATGTATTTAAATAAATGTGTTTACCAGTTTACAATCCATCATCGCCCAAAGTTAGCTTGAGGTGTACGAGTGTGTGTGTGTGCGCGTGTGCAGTGCAATATAGTACACGAGTTGTGCTGTCGGTGTGGAATTATATCGATGTTTTTAGAATTTTTGTGCTAATTTTGGCGCCGTCTAGTTGCGCGCTGTGCACAAAATAATTAAATTACATTTAAATTTAGACACAAAAGAATTGTGGTAAGTACAAATTTGGCAGACTTCTATAGGTAAAACTCTATTTTAAATAAATGGAAATATGTTTTTACTCACATGCACAACATTATATGCACATAATATTGAATATGAAACGTAATATTTTTTATAAAATAAAAAAAAATTAATTAAATTGAATTCTTGTTGCATGTGGAGTATGACTCAGGGAAGGTGTGAGCGAAATGTCTTACTGCGTCTTTAAATTTATACTCTTCCGAGCTCCTACTCGGATTTGTGGAAGCCGTTTTTTGTAAAATTTCAATTTCAGTTATAATTATTACATCATAAAGGGTTTCCCTATAAGAGTTGTTATTTTGAATGGCCCGCTTTTCCGCTGGACGTCACTTTTGAAGCTGTAATTTTCTGACATTTGAGAAGTGAAAACCACGCCCGTAATAAAATCGGAGCGATACACGCTTCAACAACGCATTGAAATTACTAAAACTTACTATAAAAATTTCATTGAAAAAACTCCTTGACTGAAGAGGACCATTTCCACCTCGTTGACTACGTCACTAAACAAAACTGCCCTCGGAAAGCCACAGATTTATTGTTGAATAGGCTCTCAATCCTCAACGTGCAGCGCTTTTTTGTGGCTTATGGTCCTTCGGGGCTAGAGAATCTTATATTTTCGAAAGTGATACTGTACAAAAAGTTACTGCTATCGAGAGATAATTAACGATTTTTTATGGACGGAATTGAATGTTATTCAACTGAACAACGTGTAGTTGTTGGAAAGACGCCGCTTTAAAGGAAAAGTTTGCGGACCGTGTAATCTCTCTCCTTTGGGATAACGTGAAGGATAAGATCTAGGCTAACAGGTACAAGCCGATTCAAGACTTCAAAGCTGAGATACCTGAAGCTATTGACGGCATGCAGCAGCGACTTTGCATTTTGATGATGGAAAATTTCTTAAAAAGTATGCGGTTCTGTAAGTGTAGCTGTGGTGGCTATTTGCTTGATATTTTTTCCATTATTAATTTGTGGCCAAATTCAATTTTGCCGATTGTGTCACAATTTTAATTTTCATTCCAGCGCCTACGATCCCTCACTAGACTCACATTTTTAGCATAAAAAAACTATTCTTTCTTTTCTCAACAATTAAATTTTAAAATTCCATAAATACTAAATTACAGCTATTAAATAATTATTTTTACTGTAGCTGAACAGTTTTAAATCTCGATGCTTAACAAGCGCTTCCCAATTATTATTATAGGGAAAGGGAACCCAGATAGCCCATCGGCATACCGCCCTCTCTGCATGCTGGACACTCTTGGAGAGTTTCTGGAAAGACTGCTAAAACCGAGACTGGAAACAGCTATTGATAGTTGTGGAGGGCTCTCAACAAAGAAATACCATGTAGATCTACACTGGGCGCAAACGAGAATGTGTTGAAAAGCCTCAACAAGTGCGTTACAGGCAAATAGTCCTACTAGTCATATTGAACGTTCGAAATGCCTTCTGCCATTCACAGTGGAAGGATACGATCAAAACCTTAGAGAATAAATTCTCTATCCCTCGGTATCTTAGCCTAATGATAAGGAGCTACCTCAGAGACAGGGTCTTACTCTACCAAATTACCGACGGGCAGCGAAAGCACAAGGTGACGGCAGGAGTAGTGCAGGGCTCTATCCATGGGTTAGACCTCTGGAATGTCAGCTAAGATGACATATTAGACCTTGAGATGCCTGATGGCACATATCTCGTGAGATATGCTGACGACATTCCCGCTATAATTACCGCGCGCGACACGGAAGACGAATGCAGGAAGTTAAATCAAACAAAAAGAACAAAAATGTGGTTTGACCAACGCGGTCTCAAACTCGCAACAGAAAAAAACAAGCTGCAGCTATTAACGAGGTAACACATACCTCTGGAAATAGACATGTACACAATCGCGGATACACTGAGGTCAAGAAGAGTTGTTTACTATCTGGGTGTAAGACTGGGCCCTAGATTGAGCTACTGGGCACAAATCCAGCATGCCGCAGTCAAAGCCACCAAAGTCACTTCTCAGCTTAGTAGACTAATGGCTGACATAGGAGGTCTAACTCAAGAGAAAAGTAAGCTTATCAAGGCGGTAACCCTTAACATCTTACTGTATGGAGCCGAGCTATGGGCGGACTCACTTAAGAAGAATAATAGGCGAATGGTACTGGCTAAAGCATAACGCATGGCGGCTTTGAGAGCCAACATATCGTACAGTACCAAGGGAAGCTGTAGTTGTAATAAACGGAAGCGTTCCCATAAATGAGCTGTGAGCTTTTTTTTTTGGCTCGGAATGCGCTCACCGTATGGCAGTGCCAAAACTCCAAGGGTCAGAGAAACTCATAAGGAAAAATAAAAAACGAGGCGATTACTTCTCCCCTTCGAGATCCGCTATTATTTGACTTTACAACTTGTACAACTTTGCTTCCGCCGTTTTCCGATAGGTGGCTGTACCGGCTGAGGCTGGTTGAAATACATAGATGATAATGCCTTTAAAGTGAGTGTGGACAGTGCCTAACGAATTGTCATCGCCGTTTCAGTGACAGTTGTTCTTGTTTTCGTATTATTCACGCTCGAAAATGTCCGTTTATGTGCCTAATTATCGCCATTTGCGGGAAGTTTTACTTTTCTGTTACAATTCGAAAATGCAGCTGAGGCGCATCGAATGCTCTCAGAAACTGACGGTGATGCTGCTCTGAGTGAAAGAACGTGTCAGGAGTGATTTCAAAGTTTTAAAAATGATGATTTCGATGTCGAAGACAAACATGGTGGTGGAAGAGAAAAATCGTTCAAAGATGAACAACTAGAAGAATTGCTTCATGAAGCTTGCCGAATCGTTGGTAGTGAGTCAGCAAGCTCTTTCAAAACGTATCAAGGCCCTGGGCATGATACAATATCAAGAGCGACATGACAAAGTCATCCTCCAACACGACAATGCTCGGCCTCACGTCTCAAAAGTGCCCCACCCGCCGTATTCCCCAGATGACGCCCCTTCTGAATTCCACCTATTCCGTTCGATGACACGCGGCCTAGCAGATCAACATTTTCAATCCTTTGAAGAATTGGAAAAATGGGTTGCTTCATGGATAGCGTCAAAAGAGGACTCCTTTTTTTCGAGCCGGGATCCGAAAATTGCCGGAAAGATGGGAGAAAGTTATCGCTAGCGGAAGTAAAGTTGTATACCTGATACTTCTCTTTTTTGTACTTTAATTTTTTATTTTTTTAATTTGAATTTAGCTTATTTATTTTAAATAAATTTGAGAAACTTACCAGCAAACTGGGTGACTTGCGCATATTTACACTAGTCTGTGGCACCAATTCCAGATGATTCGGTCTTTGTGCTGGCTTTATGTCCGTCACAGCGGTTAGCGGCTCTGTAATGATAAATAATTTTTTGGAATGATTTTAAATTAATTTCGCAATCCAGTGGTGTTAAGGGCAAATTATAGTGAATTCAAAATAAATATTTATATACTAAAATACACTGAGATCTTATTTGCTTTATTAAAATTTGTTCGATTATGAAACAAAAAATCAATTCCAGCGGTAAAAGCTTATATCTATATGTATGTACATAAATTCAAGTACAAGTGCACACCTGTGAACATTTGCAATTCTCACAGTTGCTTAAAAATGAGTTAATTACTTTTTTCTGAATGTGGCAAGGCCATAAGTTCTACGCTATGGAAAGTTTGTAATCTCTAAAAACTTTATGATTTATATTAAAACAAACTTTAAGTAGTTGAATTAGTAAAAATCTTTGAAGTTATTGTAAGAAATTTAATTACAATAACATGAGTAATATATAAATATATATATTTCTATACGCGTAGGTAAATTTCTAGGTGAGAGTGCATACATCTTCATAAAGAAATTTAGTTGCCCCTTGAGGTCGAGTTTCCCACTGGGCGGCTAACCTTAAAATTATTGTTTATTTTTGTATATAAACACAAAATTATAAACATATATGTACACATACATACATATATGTATATGTATATTCAGAGTACATATATGTATATTCAGAGCAAAGAAAATTCTCTACCCAAATGGTTCACCTTTAAAAGCTCTTTTTTTTTGTCGGCAATAAAAATAATTTTTAATAAAAATTTTAATTTAATTTTAATTTTAATTTCATTTTTATTGGCATTTTAACGCGCATAAGTCACAAATCGCAGATGTATGTTGGCTATGTGTTTATATTTCACTTATTCCATCTTCAATTATGCGATTATTTAGGTAAAGTGGCGGTATCATACATACGTACATACACACTAATGTGAGCGAGACTATTTAATGCCTTCGAATGTTCTTATTTATTAATATATTTAAAAAAAAGCTTATGCATTGAAGTGTGAATTTATTTCGAAGCTAAAATTATTCCAAGTGTGATGTAAATTTCTAAACGTCAGCTAGTAAGTACAGTTAGGAGAGAAATACTTCTAAGGTTCCGTTCCAGTGAGGCATTCGATTGGGGAAATTATTTACATTGAAGCCCTTTGTTAGAGAGTTTAGACTTTAGCTACATTTATGTATGTTTAAGGTGGCGCTGATGGTAATCAAATATTCTTCGATTTGATCCGTATTTGGATAAAAGCCAAAGATTGGAAAATTTATTAACTTTCGAAAAAATTAAAAAAAAAATATTAAAAATGAACAGTTTGGTTATATGGGGTCTATATGATATAGTCGTCTACTAGGAGTCACTAAGGTCGCATTATTACTAAAGATCATTAAATTTTCAAAAAATTCCGCAAAACTTCCAAATACCAAGTGTTTGAGAAAACTAACTCAGTCAAGGCATCATATGATCTTATTAATAGTGATTAATGATTTGACCAACAATGCGACAGGGAAAAACGAACGTTCTGACAGTTGTTAACAATCAACGCTTTTCCAAGTGTACTGAAAGCCAGACAAGAGTGAAGAAAAAAGTTTTGGTGAAGGCTTGCGTGTCTTATTATGAGACAGGCAACAGAGCAGGTTTATTCAGCGACTATTCTGATAACAAAATTTTATGGCTACGAATTATTAGAAGACAGAGATTATGACGTTTGGAATGATCAACCAGCGCATGCATAGATTTTTTTATGTCATTTATAGAAATGTTCTTCAGTACCTCGGTTACGGCTGTTTGAATGACTGGGATATCATCATAAAATGCTCCCTTCATCTTGGTTTTCAGTTTAGGAAAGAAAAACTAGTCACATGGTGATAGATCAGGCGAATACGGAGGATGGTCGATAAGAGAAATCCCTTTTTTCATTAAAAAATCGTTCACTTTTTTGGTCTTGTGAGGTGGTGCATTAGCGATTTCTCGGTCGTCATTTAATTCATGTGGAGCAAATCGCGCGCAGACCTTTCTTTTCCCCAAATCTTCAGTTAAAATTCTCCAAACAGTGTTTTTACTCGTATTCAATTCCTCAGCCAACATTCTCGTAGTAAAATTTGCATCGATACCAATGATTTCACGGACTTTTTCCACCAGTTCAGCACGATTACTAGTTTCTGGACGTCCTGCTCTAGGGGCGTCATGTAAATCCCCACGACCATTTTTAAACGTATGAACTTACGTACGACTCATACAATCATCACAATAAACTTTTTTCAATAATTTTTTTTAAGTTTGACACAAAATTTTATATTTGCTCTTTGTTCCATTTGATTTTTGAACCATTAGCACACTTTTGGTTTTATTGAAATGGCGTCACTTTTACATCTGTCATCCGCCTTACATGAAGTTATGTGCGTTTGAAAGATGATGAATGTATCTTTTTAATGTTGCAAATTTTCAATAGATGGCGCTGTATGTTGTATGATTTAAATATATAGTTCGGTTATTTTTGGGACACACCGTGTACATTTTTTTTTTGGAAGTACGGAGCTGTTTTTTACTTAAGAATAAACTTTTTTTAATAATTTAGTGCGTATTTATTAGTCAAAAATAAATCTTAATAAAGAAAAAGCGTGACGCTTTCAAAAAAATTAGTTAAAAAATAAATCTACTCATACTTCCTAGTAATACAGTTTGAAGAATATAAAACTTTTTGCTTTTCTGTTCTAGGTCTTATTCTTTAAAAGAAAACGGTCCTCCCGTGGAGGATTTTCGAAAAAAGTATGAATTAAATAACAAACTTTAACACTGCCATTTTTTATCAAAATAATAATTAGAGAATATTTTTTTATACTTCAATGTATGTTCAATGCAATGGTTAAATGGGACTTCAATTCCTTTTCCCATATTCCTTTAAAAAATTAGTTATTTTTTAACCTCCAGGGTGGCCTTACCCCTTAATAGTGAGATTTAGATTTCTTCATCTTACAGGAAATTACAGTGCATTTAATACCAACAAAAAGTTCAAATATGTAAAAACACACAAGCACACTATCAGCGGAAAACAAAGCAGTTGAGTTCAATGAAAACGTGGAAGAACGGGATTGCGCTGACCCCACTGTCAAGTCTATCACCATCGATGGCGTTTCAGTCTCTGCAGCAAAACGGGAAGGAATGCTTAAGATTCTTGGATGATTATAAGGTAGATAGATGTTTAACATATTAGAGACGAATCATATAACTCTTTGCTGACATCAACCAAAAGTGAACTTACTATGCTTGTAGGTATAATGATCCGACATACTGAGATAATGTATCGATAAGCAAAGACAGGTCGAGCGCTACAAAACACACAAAGAATGATGAACATTTATTTGCGAGCGCCCAGTCTTCAGCGTAGTGAGACAACAAATGGATATGTATGAGTGGAAGTAATTAAGGTATTTATTTGAATCGATGAAATTGTAAGCAAACACACACACAGGGAAACAAAGTGAACTTAGACAATGGTTTACCACATTCAGGCCATCAATCTCCCCTTTGCAACCAATCAGCCTAGCAATCATTAGAGCTGAGAAAAGATGACAATGACGTTACTTTGACGTCAAATATTATAATAGAAAGCGTTTCATTGCTTGTGCGAAAACTGGAAACCAGTGTGAAAATCTAATCTTGCGCAACAATAAGGAATGGGATATCTTATCGGCAAAAGCTCATCAGTCTCAAGGTGCCTTACGATATTATATATTATGATTCGTCACCCAGCTAAGTGTAATCGCATGTATTCTTTAAAAAGTGAATTAAGTGCGATAATGACAAAAAACAGTTCAGTTGAATTTTTTCTCAAAAGGAAACTCTACATTATTTTCTATTTACTTCTTTTTAAAGTAATATTCTTCAGTTAAAATTCACTTCGCACAGATTTTTTCGACTTTAAAAAACGTATTTTTCTCAAATCTTGGGATTTAAGGAGGTCGAACCTCTTGGCTATAATTGATAATTGAGGCGTTGAGTTAAATTGAGTTGATGCGGCCCACTTGGGCCGATAGGTTTATGCCCGTCGTTAAGTTATTGGAGAAGCGATCAAATGCGTCAGCTTCCCTGGTAAAGGCCAGTTTTAGTATGTACTTCGGCGTGGACAGAGGGAAACCAGCATCGTGTGCAAGTTTTATAGTAGACAGAAGGGTTCCTTCGCTTACTAGTTCAACTGCCATGCAATTTACCTGGGATGTCCCTGCGTCCAGGTGTCCAGACCACGGCAGTAATGTACTTCGTTGAGAGTTTGTTAAGAGTGTTTCTGCAATTAATGGTCACTTTTGATATTATATCGTTATAATGAAGAGATTTGTTTGCAGCCTGATTGACGCAAGCACTCCGTGACCTTCATAATACCAAAAAGTTCCATCTGGAAAACGATGCAGTGCTTCGGTATTCTCATGCTCATGCTAACTGAAAGCACGAGAGAAAAAATTCCGCAACCCATTCTGCCATCGAGCTACGAGCGGTCTGTGAAGATGGCTCTTGCTTCCTGTTTTTCCACTCGCATCTGTGTGGAATTATTGGGGAGAAATAAATAGCGAAGCATACACTGGAGGTGATATAAGCATAACTCCTTCGGCATTTCTGTAAGAGATAATATTTTTGTATGTTCTATACTACAATTCTTCCAAGGTTGCCGTAGCAATTAATCTTATTGCGTTACAACCCGCTTGTAGTTTCATGTATAAGGTTAAAGGAAGGAAGTTGAGAAAAGTTAGCAGTGCTTTCGGGGGAATTGGTGGCAATGCTTCCGTTATTGGGATGGACGCCGATCACTGAACTCCACCAAACGTGACTCCGTAGAAAAGGATTGATCTAACTACCGATATCCAGTGCACGATACTCGATCTTAAACCCCAGTTATAGTTATAGTTTTCTTTCATTTTACCGCCGTATCCCGGCTCCAGTTTAGTTTGTTATCCAAGATTATCTCAAGGTATTTGACTTCGGTATAGAGTATTATCTCCACGAACTCAAATCGGGGCATGTCTACCGTGTTAT